TAGCGATTAATTAGGTTATGGACGTTAATATTAAAAAAAAGGCATTTGTTTTAACGTTATTTTATTAGAAAACAAACTTGAATCCCTATTTTATTCGATCCGAACTTGAGCTGTTTAGTACTGCATGAATATCAATTTATCTTAAAAAAAATATTCTTGGTCATACAACGTCACTAACACTTAGAACAAACCAAAATAGGGTGTCCTAGTTCAAAAGCTGTTTCGCCTAGGCTAACTAGAAATCGGCGTCAAAAATAAGTTTCTAACCAGGACAGTGCCTAAACCTCTCATATGGTGAAATGATATCCATATTCAGAATTCCAATAATATGGAACGCCATCAGTGGATATGCTCAGGATATGACTGAAATTTTTATGTGGCCCCTAGTTTTTTTTTATATTGAAGAAACGTTTTTGGGGTTGGGTTATAATTTTCATAATTTCGGGGATGTTGTTCGTTCCCAAAAAAAAAATTCCTTTATTTTTTATAAGCGATTTTAATAGAAAAAATACTATAAAAAGGCCATTTAAATTTATAAAAATATTATTTAATTTAAGCATTTAAGGCCGTAATTAGTATTAGTGTTGTTAAACGGCTCGTTTTGAGCCGATTTTTTAAAAATGGCTAATTCAACATTTCATCCTGAAAAATATCACGCAAGCCTAAAGATTTTGTTCATAGAAGGAACAAAGGGTCTAGACATATATTCTCAAAAGCTCTAGGCTTAGATAATATTTTTCTGGCTAAAAAATTGAGTTAGCCGTTAAAACAAATCGATATAGGGTCTCCTAGTTCCAAATCTGATTTGAATGTCTGAACAGAGATATGTTTTTGGAAATAAGACGAGTCAGAACAGTCATTCTTATCTTAATCGACTTTCCGTTTATAATTGATTATGTTAATTTCTCATATTTTATTTTATTTAAAAAAAAATGCAAATTACTAGAGAACTGAGATGACCACAACTACACCAACTCACAGGGCCACTGGAACAAATAACCTATCCTCTATGCAACTGACGATTTTTTAGGTCCTTTATCAAAATAACTATTACATATAAACCATATACATATACACATTTAATTTTAAGGTTTTTTTCTCGTACGATTTATGATATACTATCGTCATCGAACCCCAAACGAATTAATTTTTCACCTATGTATATATATCAGAGTTGTTAAAGGCTCTAGATACAAGTATCTAGATCCTGTATCTAGATATAAAAATGTGGTATCTGTATCTAGATAGATTTTTGATTAAAATATCGGTATCTAGATATTATTTTAGACGATGTATCTGTATCTAGATCCATTTAAAAAGTATCTTTTAACTAAACGGTTCAATTTTTAAAAACGGCCAACACAAGAATTTAGCCAAAAAAAAGTTATGTATGTGTCGAGATCTCGTTAATACATGTTCAAACCTTTCTTCTCTCTATGAGCAAAATCTCCGGTCTTGCGGAATATTTATGGATAAAATATTGGGTTAGCCCTTTCTAAAAAATCGCGTTTAACAACAATTATTTCCTTTTTTTAAAGTTTTATATTTCTTCTTGTTCATTCGAAAAGATTCTTCAGATAGCCACGACAGTACGCGGCAAGATTAAAAATAAGGAATGGGCGAATGAATCCATCCGGCGAAGCTTAATCCAATATCGTCACTGGGGGGAGGGAGGGGTTATATTAGGGAGTTCGAGAAGGTCAAAATTTCGAAGAGACCTCTCAAAATTTTCTAAAAATACAAATTCTGAAGCAAAAAAAAATATGTATTCATTTTTTTTTTGTTGGGTAATGGGAATCAACACGCGCTTTGCCGGGGATAATCTGTTTAACGTTAAAGCGTTTTAATTTATGCTAGTTTCTGCCAAATTTGAGCTGCTATCTTTTAGTGAAAAACTCCGAGACCAGAGTTATAGTTTTGGGCTAAAAATTGGCTTAAACGGCTAAAGATATAGTAATCACCCACTTATCACCAGCAAATAAAAATCTAATGACACTGTTGAATAAATCATTTATACACTTTTCAATTTTTTTTAGATAAATTTAATGGCAATTATACTGCATGTAGAGAGCTTGATATATCAAAAGAATATAAACAATGTAACGATGCTGATGAAACTACATAAAATGCTAATTTCGGGTATTTGATTAGATGCATCAGTAGATTATATCAGATTTATATTATAAATATCACAAAAGGGTATGCTTAGCTTTTGACACTAACATTTTAATTTTTTTTTAAAGTATATACTCAATGATAAACTAGAAAGAAAGAAAGAAAGAAAGAAAGAAAGAAAGAAAGAAAGAAAGAAAGAAAGAAAGAAAGAAAGAAAGAAAGAAAGAAAGAAAGAAAGAAAGAAAGAAAGAAAGAAAGAAAGAAAGAAAGAAAGAAAGAAAGAAAGAAAGAAAGAAAGAAAGAAAGAAAGAAAGAAGAAAGAAAGAAAGAAAGAAAGAAAGAAGAGAAAGAAGATAGAAAAAAAGAAACAAATAAATGTTACATCTCAAATTTTTTTTTATAAAATTATACGAATAGATTCCGATATTATAAATAAATTATATTTCTTTTTTTCAAGTAATAATAAGTGTGGCGACCTTTCTTTAAATAAAAATAATATCTCGCGCTAGTTTAAGATATATGCCTATCAAAATATATTCTTATTTCTGATGGGTCTGTTCAATGGGACACCGGAGATGTTGATACATTTCGTTCCCCAACATACCACCGGGCATTGTCTGGATTGCAATTTACTGATACCAACATTTGAAGTATTTAACTAGAGCTCATACCCAAAATGCAGTTTCTTTATTATTTCCACCACCGGCTTGGATTCCTTTGAACACCCTTCCCACCTCTGTCCAAAATCTAGATATTTAGATAATACTAATATATTTTGATTGAATATTGTTCCCTTGACACTAATGCAGTTAGCATGCGCTGCAATCAGATCGTAACTTTCCGTGAAAAGTGAGAAAGCGAGCGAATGTTGGAGGAAAAATTAATTAAAAGCACTAAACTTTTATTTTTTACTTTCTTATGGTGGGTTAGAAATAGGTTGATAAATTTTTTGTTATAAATTCACAACTTTTAAATAGAGGCTAAATAAAAATTCGTTTTAGGATTTCTGAGGATAAATGATCATCTTTTGGACATGGATTAAACTGAAAATGGCATCGGTCGATATTGTAAATGATAAATACACTCATAAAAAAATTTCAGAGTCGTATTGACTTATGGATTCCATAATTTAGTACTAGAACGTTTTGACCAGGGACGTGAACCCGAACCCGGATACAAAGAATTTTAAATTCTATTTAGTGGAAATTTCGATATAAGGGAACTTAATCGAACAGATTTCCTAAGAGGGTCCGAACCCGCCCCAGATCTATATTACCACGTGGTTAATGAGTTGTCCTTAAATCGGTCTCTGTTTGGTCTGTGCTTTCAAAATTCCCAACCAAACAATTTTAAATTCCTGAACCTGGGTTTGAGCTCACATCCCTGGTTTTGCCCTCTTTCAAAAAATTAAATCTAAAGACCATGGCAATATATTTTTCTACATTCTTTTAAAAATTTTTTTAGAGTTAGCAGAAAATAGTTTTAATATTGCACCACTCGAATTATGATTCTGCACAAAAAAAATAATAATATAATAGGCCAGAATATTTTAGGTTAGTGATGCTTGGTACCTTAAGGTACCATCTATCAAATTTGAATTTTGTTCATTTTTCATTTGGATAGGCACTACCAAATATATTTATAATATATATTTGAAAAATCGTGATTTTTGGAAAGCCTCTATGGCCTAGTAGGCAAGAGCTTGGCTTACTTATCCTATGCTCTCGGGTTCGAATCCCGGGAATGATCATATTTTTTTTCTTATTCTAACTTGGTGGTTCCATCCTTGGGGGGATGATATATAGAAGGCCGGACTCGACCACGTGATTCCGTATTAATATATTAAATAATAAGGGTCTTATTACATTTTAATAAATTTTGGTCGGTATTTAGCAAATTAGATTGGTATTTAAAATATTTCCATACATTCACTTGGTAGTAAGCATCATTAACCAATATTTTATTATGGAAATTTCTGGCCAATCAAATGTTAAAGACGTCACGTGTTAAATTTTATATAAAAATGGTAGTTAAATTATTTGATTTTTCGATATTTTAGACAATTTCCAGAAAAAAAGGAAAAATTTGGTATGGAATGTGTAAAGGGAGAACAAAATAAAGAGTACCAATCATATAATTTGAATGGAATAAATAACTTGAAGAACACCCTGGCACTATTGTCTTATCACTACCTATTACATGCAAAATTAGCGCTAAGAAAAGGGTGAATAAAACACAATTTAGGTCAACAATGCGTGATAGTAGGTTAGCTTCATTAATCATGTTGAGTAACCATCGCAATCGAAACATATAAATTTTTTTAGAACTGGGCAATGGTAGGCTAGGGCAAAAGAATTTATTTCAATATTTTGACAACTAGGATAAATTTATGATATTTTATTTTTTAGGGTGACATTTATTACTAAACCACGCAAAACTTGTAATTTAAAACCACACAAACCTGTAAATAATTAAAAACCTTGCAAATGATAGAAAGACATGCATAACGATGACAAATTCTAAACTACACTAAAAAAAATTACTAACCAAAGCAAATTAAGGAAAACATGCAAAATACACAAAAAGCATAACAAATGGTGAATAGGCTTGAAATATGTTAAAATGACAAAAGCAATAAATTGGTGATTTTTTTAAAAAAAAATAGAAAGTAGTCCTTCATTCTGCTATATTATAAAAATATTATTCCTCTCTCCTGAAATTTCTTGTGGAAGCTCCCTGCGTAATTCCTGTTATTTCTATTGATTACCTGAACACCTGTTGTGGTCTAGGATTGGTCTATATGTTAAATATTGTGAGGTCAAATAAAGGTAATAAAATTGAGTGTCAATATTATAAAACTTATTTGATCGATTATCAAACTGCCGTAAAATTTCATTTAATCATAAATACTAAATATTTTTTATTTATGTATCATAATTTATAATATTATATACAATATTTAATACATCTTTTAAAATGTTTTAATGACAACAGGATATTCATCATCAACAAATTTGCTTGATTTAAAATGGTATCCATTTTTTCTTAAATAGTTTTTAAAATTTTTAGCTCGATTAACCAATTTTTTCCTTCCCTCATCCTCGTCAGACAATGATGGCAGGGATATACTATTAAAAAGTCTATTTAGGGTATTAATTAGAAAATTTTGGGAAGGATCTTCGATAATGTCAATGAAAAAATCAGCTGGGATCTCTTGAATATGATAATAAAGTACACTGATTAGTCCTATATACAGATTGGTATACCTTATAGATCTGATTGCAGTTTCACTATTGCACAATAAGAGAACTAATTTTTTCCACTGGTCAAATGATTCAAAATGATGCCCATATATAAAACATATGAATGAGAATTGTATTTCACCTAATAATTCATGGCCTAATTTTAGATTATCCTCATTTTCCTGAGGTATGATTAAACTTTGAAGGGTGTAGGATGTGTCTAAATTATGTTTAGTTATATCACTAGGATTTGAATTTTTAGGATATAACAAACGTTTAGGTATTGTTGTATAGGATATAGTGTATTCTGGCTTAATATTTAACAAATCATCTATGTTTTTAATATCATTATCGGGCTGAATCTTTGGAAGATTTATGCTTTTATATGAATTATGTTCATTATCATTGTTTTGAGTAGTTACCAACTCTTTAATTGTGCCTTTCTTGGAAGAAATAAATTTTTTGGTGGTATAATCAGGGCAAGATGATATTATTTTTGAATTTAATTTGTTCAATATATCTTTTGTTATGTAATTTGTTAGTGAAGTCCATTTTTTAAAGCTATCATATGGATATGGGGCTAGATCTTGGTCAAAGCTAAGTATATTTGATTTGTATTTAAGTGCTTCCTCGTGACTCAATTCATTATCTAGAAGGACTAATAGATTAATTATTTATGTTTATTATAAAATCAAGACTAAATAACTATAAGTAAAAAATTTTCTATCTAGAAGGACTAATAGATTAATTATTTATGTTTATTATAAAATCAAGACTATATAACTATAAGTAAAAAAAATTCTGGGCCAACCTGGGAAAAAAATAATCAGCCAGGCAAAGAAAAAGGTGGCCAGATAATTTAATAGAGATAAGAGAATATACAAAAAATATTGTAAAGTCTAATTTTGCTAAAATAATTTTTTCTATTGGGTTATAATTTTAATGATGACAATTATTAGGTTTTTTTTATTTAAATTTAATATCACAAGAACCTATTATTATTGTCAAAAATACATATTTTGTAATGTATTAGATACTAAATTTTATGAAGAATTCGAACAAAAGATTTGTTTAGTTATATTTTAGCATGATAAGCATTTTTACATTTTGATATTTGATAGAAGTGATAATCTATAAAGTATATTGAACTACTCCCCATTATTTTTATAGTTATTTATTTGACGTACAACCATATTTTAACAAGATCATTCAGATTTTTAAAAACAAAGCAAATTTTAAAAAATTAGGCCAGGCAACCTTAGCAGAAAAATTGAAATAGAGCGCAGAAAAAATTTTCCCAGGCTAGGAAACTACTAATTTCCCATGAAGCAGGTCCTAAAAATTTAGCATTTGCAGACAACTAATAACAAGATTAGCCCCTCCCCCCAATTAAATAAATTAAGTTGAATACCTTTTCCAAACATTTATAATAAAAAAATTATTTCTATAGTATTGTACATATTTAGCTAATTCATATTCTAAGCTGTTATGAACCCCATTTTAAAAATAACAAACCTAGTATAATTAGTAAATGAGAAAAGGATAAAAGAAAGAATATGCTCAAAATGTGCATATATAATTAATGCACTCCTCTCCCCCTGATCCAAATGAAAAGTTCAATTTATTGCCCTGTAAAAAAAATATACAGTAATATATTGTATAAAACCTTCTGAGTTTTTACACCACTGTTTAATTTGAATATCTTTTGATTCAAACCAATGAAAAAATCCTGATCTAAAAGATGAATTTCCATGAGAATCGTTTGAGCTACGTATTTTGATTATTGATATAGTGAAATTATGAATTTGATACAATACTTTGTAAATATAAAATGTAATCCAGGTGGAATTAATTTAATTCCTTTAAATTTTGTATCTGTATTCCAGCAGTTAATATCTATTCCAAACGTTGTACCAATTGGAAGATCTAAAATGAGAATACACCCACAGTTTGTAGCCAGAGCATTTATCAGATTAGGATCCATAGATGAGCTCATTTTGTCCAAAATAATAAAGTGATTGACATCCAATGTGTTTGAAAACATATTACTATATATTTATTAAATGTCCTATAATTTAAATGTCCCAAATATTATCTGTTTTATAACAGAAAACTAAAGTCTTTCATATAATAGTCAGCGGTATATTTCCTAATTTTGACGGGGGAGAGGCTACGATTTTAATCTTATATATTATCAAAAAATATGATACACCATCAAAACGCTATAGTGCAAATATTTTTAAATGCAAAAAAATCCACTATTTTGTTAAAATCTACAATGGTATAATAAAAATATTTTTTTAAATACAAATCAGAATTCTGATTCTATCTTGGTGCATTTTATTATGTAATATTTTAAAAACGTGAATGCCATTTTTAACATTATTTACAAATTTAATTTTAAAAATTTACAATACATCCAGAACTCAATATTTCGAAATGTTTACAAGTAAATTTTTATATATTATACTTAATGTAAATATAACTAAAAGAAAAGTTAGTATTTGTTTCAATGGCTTTTTTAAACTATCCAATTGGTATATAACAAAAATTCATAACATTTGATATAAAATTGTCATAGAAACAAGTAATTTCTAAATTTCTTATCAAAAAGGCAAAAATTGAATGAGTGCTAGATTATTGATTATTCAAGCAACATAATCTCCAAATTGTCAGAATTCAATTTTGTCACCTATGCTCTAGATTTCAGCAGCGCTGACATCATTCAACTACTTCCTGTGCTCAAGTAGGAGATACCCGAAATTGAGATAAAAAATTTAATATGTAGCGTAATATCATGGAAATTGATTGGGTTAATTATGATTCCAAAAAACAAATTATTTTTTTGGAAAAACATAATATAAAATGAAAGATATATTTATATTATTTTAAAACTAGACTTAATTATTTTTAAAAAAAAAATTAATTTTGACACTAACTTTTATGTTTAAAAAAACCCTATAAAATGAATTATACATTTATAAATCTAATTGTATTTATAATAGAATAATTATTTTCAATTAAATTAATCACTCATTAAAAGAAGAAATGGCGAAAATTTACAAATTGAAATTTTATGTTAAATATTCTAAAATATATTTCCTTAAAAAACAAAATATAATATATAATTATTTCTGTTGTGCCGTTAAGAATAAATCCGAGACCGTCATGAATAATTTAACTTTATTAATTCAAAATAAAAAAAAACTAATTCTATTGACTTCGAAGAATACTTTATTAAATATTTTAATTCAGAAAATATAAAAAAAACTTTTTAAACTCATTTTTTATTCAAATTTTTAAGACAAAAAAAAATATATATTAAATTTTACAAAAATTCTTCTTTTTCCCAAAATTTAAAAAAAAACTGACTCATTCTGAGTCTTACAATCCAAAAACAAATCAGTGCGCTAAGGTTAACAAACTGGGTTACTCCGCGTGATAAAAATACATATAATGAATTTACAAAAAAACAAAATATATACCAATACAATAATTTTTAAAAAAAATCGCCAATGGACAATATTATTAAATTTTATTTTTTTAAAAAAAATGAAAAATATAACAATATAATATATTTAAATATTTCTATTTTTTTGTATTAAGAAAATGAATTCTATGGGATTCGTTTTGAGCCAGATAAAAAAACAAGAGAATTCTTTCCAGTCCTGGTTCAGTTTTTTGGAGCATCAAAAAAATATCTATGAATATTGATTTTTTAATGTTTAATAAAAAAAATAATTTTAAAATCCTGTTCCCAATTTTTAGCTAATTTTCCCATAAAAATTTTAATACTTTAATTTTTTTTATAACTGCTATGTTTACTCCGTTTGATTTGGGTTATTTACAAAATTTTGACAAAAGATAGATAAATAATAATATAAATATTTTAATTATTTTATATTTGTTGAATATTATTAAACAATTTTGCCTAAAAGAGACAAATAAGATATATATAATTACTATTGGTTTATTTACCGTATTGGTCAATTATCTTTTTGAAGTTTTATGTTTAATTTTTTGAAACCGATATCACACAAGCTAGGTATTAATTGCTTATCATCAACATTACACGTTTCGATTATAATTTAAAATAAAAGGAAATAAATGGAAAGATATATATTTTTCCTAACATATGAGGTATGTTTAATAATTTTAAAAAAAAACAGGTAACTTTCTGTTTTTTTGAAAAAATATTAATATTATTACCATTCTAATCGAATATAATCGACCAATATCAACCAAATTTTTTATTGTCACAATCAAATACAAATACAGTATCAGAAATTTCTCATTATCACTCACAATAATTATACTCATTTTACTTATGTTAAAAAAAAATAAAAATTATTAATTACTTTTTTTAATGATTTTTAGGCATGACTAGTTTTTTTTTAAAAAATTGTTTGTTTTTTTTAAATAAAACATTTAAAAAACAAATGTGTTTGATATGTCTTTTTTTACACCTCCTAATAGTGTTGTTAAACGGCCCGGATATGGGTCGATTTTTAATAACGGCTCCAAATTGATTTTATCCAAAATAATATTATGTAAGTTTGGAGATCTTGCTCATAGATGGCAGAAAGATTTGAACCTCTATTTGCTAAATCTCAAGGAGCTTACATAATATTATTGGTTAAAATCTTAACCAGGCCGTATTTTAAAAGCCACCCTTAGGTAGGTTTTTTCCCTCATCTATAAATATACTCATCCACATTTTATTTTAAAATTAGATTTATTTTTCCTCAATTACAATTATAATATTGTTCGTATACATTTTATTTTGAATGAAATATGATCCAAAAAAAAAAGTATTTTGTATCTTAAAAATTAATGATATCGAAATTACCTGTTATTTTGAAGTATATTATGTCATTCACGTTTCTTTCCTATGCCCTTTAAAGTCGGAGTTGTCTTTTCGATAGATTCATATCCCCCCCCAACTTTGCCCGACCCACATTTGCTAGATTTGCTTTTTATTCTCCCGATCAAAATAAGAAACTTTGTTACGTGTTGTTTAGGAATCGTATGATCTTTCGCAACACTCTTATACTTGTTCCAAACATATTCGTCCATTTATTTCTTGGATATTATCATTTTGATGGTCGATTACCATAGTTGTAATGATCATCTCCCATCCATGGTAAAACTACGGAATCTGCTTTCCCCATTCGAAATATTTGATTTGAACAAAATTCTAATATTTTCAAATTCGCTCAAACTTTAAAATAATAAATGTCAGTTTAATACTCATTTGTATGATTTTACAAATTATTTATTACATAAAATGTTAAATTACAAGTCCTACAATCAAAAATATTTTGGTGAGCCGATAAATCCAATAACATATTTATCATTATGTCATTAGTGTTGTTAAACTACCTATCTTTAGTCAACTAAAAAAACATGATAGCCATATTTTTTTCCAGAAATAGTTTAATCAATCGTCAAGTCGAGGCTCAACTTAGAAGCCTTATTCAAATTTATTTAGCCTAAAAACTTGACTAATACACAATAGAATGGTCAAAGTTAGTTAATTTAACAACACTAAATGTCATTGGACAAATCAGACTGATCTATATATTAATTTTTCTTTCAATATTATGTTATTATGTTTCGGGTGGATCTATTTATCGCACCCTAGCAAGAGTCTCGAGTAGTGTTGTTAAAAAGCCAGATTTGGATTAGATTTTTCAAAATGGGCCGATTAAGATTTTAGCTAAAATAATGTTACTTAAGCATCGATATTTTGCAAATAGATGTTCAAGCATTTCTGCCAGTTATAGACAAAATTTTTGGGCTTGCATGATGTTGTTATGGTTATAATCGGACCGGGCTTTTTAACAACACTAGGTCTCAAGGCTAAAAAAAATATTAATCATTTATGACCAAATATCGTTCAGCTTGACCACAAATTAAAAACCATTTATAAAAATAAATAATACTTGGGCGAAACATATAATGAATTATTTTATAACTTAAAATATCGTTCAGCTAAACCACACAATATTATCAAATTATTACTAAATATAGCTCGGCTAAAAAATATGGCTCCGCTTGATGGCACATTAAATTATTTATTCAAATAAAGTGGAATAGAGAAAAATACAATGACATATACAATGCCTAGACTGACGATTCATTCATTAAAATGCATTTTTAAGCGTCGTTAAAAGCAAATCAGCTGGACCCGCCATTTTGGTAACACATATAGTAATTATTCTCATGTTATAAACTACTATTAAATTGATAACTTGCTTCCTTATTATCTCGATGATCCGGTAATTCTTTAATAAAGTTCGCATCAGATATAGGAATAAATTAGGCTTCCGTTTAAAATTTTAATAATGATTAGTGAAACCAAGATGACGTCGCCAGCTGATTTGCATTTATTATAATAGTTTTTTTTTCATATTTAACTAAGATAAATTGATATCGTTAATATTTATAAATTGAATTAAAAATTTATTTTTACAAATATAATAATTAAAAAATATATATATTAAAAAGACGCTACCTAACGGATAAAATTTTATCTTTTTTTAAATATTTTTTAAATAAAGAAATTATAATAAAAAAAATTTATTTTATAAAGAGTAGAATTTAAAATATCTTATAAATAATTTAATGGGCAATTTTCCTTTTCACCAGTTTATTATCAAAAAATGTTGTTTATTTTTGCAATCGGTATGAAACTATTAGATTAATGTTTTACTATGAACTAATATAATAAGTCCGTAAAATTAATTATAATTTTAATGGAAGGCTCTAAAAAAATAGGAAAAATATTTAAATTTTTTTTAAAATTTTAATATAATTTTTCTTTAACATTTTGTGCTCTATATCGATACAATTTTAATTTACACTTTTTTTTACATTTTTTACATATTGAAATAATAAGTTTTTTAAAAGGTTTTATTAAAAAAAGAATTTCGATAAGTTCGTCCTTATATTTTATAAAAAGTAAAAGAAAATTTACGAAAATTTATTTTAC